TAATTCAGCATGTTGTATTTTAGATGAAGGCAGTTAGATGTCTAAGTGCTTCCAAATCCTAAATGTATGTTGACATTGGTTATGGAGAATATCCCTGTAGGGAAGCCATCCAATCTGGTGGGTAATGCTGTGAGCAAGGAGAATGGCAATGGAGCCTTCAAAAGGACAGTGTCACATCAGAGCCTTCTCATTAATCTCTTAGTGTCATTACCTCCAAACAGGAGGATCTCTTATTGCTCTGTACTGTACTATACTAAAGTCCTTTTCTCATATCTGAAATTTAATGGGAAGCAATGTTCCATAATTTAAATAGGAGCTGTTAGTAGTCCCCCCTTTTTTTTTTTCAACAGGAAACTTGTACATTCGATAGGAGTTACAAATTCAATAGGAAAAAATGCCTCCCTATGGCCTAATTCAATGCACTGCAAAAAGACAGTTTCAGAACACCTTGTCATCACTACCAGGTGATAAACCATAATGTAAACTTTGGCAACCTTCTCACGTGCAGTGTTACACTACCATTCCCTTAGGGTCCTCCATGCGTGCTTAGCTGGAGGGCAGGTGAAAACTTAGTCACTCATTTTGTATGTATTGTGCTTCTTGCGTATGAGGTGTGCAAATACTCCAGAGTCTTATAAAGACTGACTAGCTAAGCTCTAAAAGAGTTCTATGAAAACTGAGCTGCATAGTAAATGGGCCTCTGTTTAATGAAAAAGATAATTTTATGCTAGGTTTGAACTGAGCAGTGATTTTCTTCACATATACTGGACCTTCCTTTCTCTTTTCTGAATCTATCTCCATGCATTTGGGACATCTCTGTTTTCTTTGGGTGTCACTTAGACGTACAGAGGGAATTCTAGCAGGCTATTGGGAATGCCTCAATAGGGGCGAATTGCCTGTAGCTGCCTAGATCCAGGATCCAAGCCTGTTCTGCTCAGTGTGGTGGATTGGGAGAAGGAGATGAACTTTGCTCCCACAGCAAGCATAGGTGTGGGAGGCTGAATTAGCTAGGAAGCTCAACGCAGTCTGTTGCTCAGCTGATTGTAACCTGGTTTAGAAGAGAATGAGCCCAACAAGTTTCATCTTCCATGGACTGGTGGCTGATTTAATACTATGCAGCAACTGAGAGGGATTTATTTTCCCTGCTGCTTTGAACAGAAACACTGGATGAATCCCGCAGTCTTCTCTGGGGAAAACAGATGTCGCTTGGCTTTTGCCTGAACTGAGTATTACGAGGTCCCCTCTGTGCATTCATGGCATGGCACGGCAGTCAGCAGGGTAGAATTACAGGCCCCTCACCACCCCTGTGACAAGGTTTACAGCCGTCCTGATGGTAACGCACAAGACCAGACCTTGTGCCCTGGGCGCAGACCAAACGTTCCGGGAAGCGGTGACGTTAAAGGACCCGACCTCAGCTGGCAGTGATGCCCGAGTTAGGAGCTGGCAGGAGCTGACATGAGAGCGAGGAGCAGCTTTGGGGCTGGGACGTGGGACACCTGTCCTCATCTCAGCAATGTATTTCACAGCGAGGTCAGCGCTTCCCTCGCAGGAAAGCCTTCGTTCCACAGTCCCATGGGCGTTCTTGCCATAACAAGTAACATCCATTTAAGGCTAGCAGTAATCTTTCATATATTCTATGTTCTCATGTGACAGTCTGAGGTGGTGGAGGGAAAGCTGGGATGTGGATTGGCCAAGTGAAGTGCCCCAGGTGCCACAGGCAGGCAGGGATAGACTCTGCTTGAACCAAGGGATTTTATGTCACAGTCTGCATTTGTTTATCTGCTGTTTCCAGGGCTATGAGATAAACATCATACAGCGGAAATCAGGAATGACTTCAGCAAGAAGGCAGGGTTAGGTATTTTCTCAGGGCTTTCAGAACTGCCTGGTACTGTTTCCTTTTACAATGAGTTCTCAAGTTTGGTTCAATTTAGAGTTGACTTTATGAGTAGATTAAAGAAGTATTTTTGAGGTAGAGACCTAGATGGATGGACCTTCTCTAAACTAATGGCTTGATTCACATATGCCCACTTATTTCAGACAAGGGCAAAGTTACACTGTGCCTTTTTGCTCTCCCAGTGCTTTCCCGTGCACACACTCATGGTCTGTTTGCCCCAGGGCGCTGGCGTTTGTCCACTCCACTATCACTTTCCACCCGCTAGCAATATGGGAAATCCCCTCCCCTCATGGGTGCCTGACTCGCTGCTCCTTTTAGCTCGTTTCCGGGAGCTGAGGCAGCCGTGACTGTGTGAAGGCAGGGGCCGCAGGTGGCCATGTGCCGGAGCACGTACCCGCCCTGAGGCGGGCGCGGCCGCTGCGTGTTCCCAGAGACCTGTGGTAACGGATGTACCGGGTCAACGTGGAAACACATCTTTAAGGTCCCTGCAAAACTAATTCTCCTGCTACGTTTGATTCAATTCTTTGGAACCTAGTTCTGTCATCACCCTCTCTAAGGTGGAAATGCCAACAGCTCCAACACCTTAGGGAGAGCTGCTACCCATGGGCAGGTGTATTCCAGGGCCTCCCTTATCTCACAGTGTTTGACTTAGACCCTTGCATCAGACATCACAAACTGGGACAACACATTCTCATGCTCTTTTTGATTTGTCCCTTTGCTCCATTAAGAGCCACACGCTGCACGTGTCGCTATTGCAACAGCAGCATGTGGCCATCTTCTGTTATGGCAGTTCCTGGATTAGCTTTATCTAGCCTCATTAACGTAGGGCCTGGGGCAGAGATTTCACTCCCAGAGAACTGACAAATCTAGAAAAGGCAGCCAGAACGTCAGAGAGAGGAAGCTCCTCAAACCACATCCTTGATGCCAGACAAGGGGCAGTGGGACCGTGAGAGTCACTGGTGGGAAGGACGACAGGAGAGAAGAGCCCATTTTGTGGTAGGACTAAGAATTGATGGGGAAGCGAAGGACAAGTCCTCCGAGTGAGAGGCTGAGGGGGGGCAAACACAGGGAGGCTGGGTGGGAAAATGCCCACAAGATAGATAGGGAAAAGGAAGGGCGCTCATATACAGGTATCTGTTCTCATAGCGATTATAACCCCCATGATTTTGGTGAGCAGGTAATGAGGTAAGTCAGCCAAGCAATGTCAGGAATGAAGAGCAGCTGTACAAAAGCATGTTTCAGAATGTAATCTGCTTTCATGCATTAGGAAAGCAGCAAAATAATGAAGACATAAGTGGAAAAACGTAGTGCCCAAGAACATGTTACAGCGCAATAACTTTTTCTTTGGCAGCTTCAGGACAAGTAAATTACAAATCACCAAAGAGGTCAATGCAATTTCATTCTCTTTTTTTTTCTACATACTTCATTCAATCTCTTTTCATTGTATTTTAGTCACTATATATTCCTTCCAACCATTCTCAGTCTAGCTCATTATCTCCAAAGATTGCTCTTCAAGGAACTTTAAGGCACTTACAGCTTAGTTTCTTCCCCCCTCCTGCAAAACAAGCATGCTCAGCATCAATACTTTGTTTTCCATAAAGTAGAAGGCACTCAACACATAGTTTACTTACACGGGGTCTTTTCCATTCAAACTTGATGGGGATTTTCTGGCTATAGAAGAGGGAGGTCTCGTTAGGTGGGAAATCAGGATCTTCATAGAGAATGTTTTCCTCCAGGCATTTCTTGTGAAGCTCTTCATAGGTCTTTTCCTTTACTCTGATAATGTGCTGGTTGCGACTGATTATGGCAGAATAAATCCCTCCCGTACCCCCACCTGGACCTTCAACTGGGTGGTTAACGGTAGCGCTGGGAAGTGACCCAGCAGCCGTCTGCTGAGCCACCGCGGCATTGATGGCAGTTGGCATGGGAATCAAGTTTAAAGCAAGTTGTTGAAAGAAAGCAAGATCTTGAAAAATGGAAGGAAATTTGAGAGAAGGAAAAACAAAAAAAAAAAAAAAAGAGGAAGTTGCTCTGTAAAAACTGTTTCCTTTCCGTTGAAAGTCGCCTAATCAAATGTGCAGGCAACAAAGTTCCATGTGGTTGTGCAGCTTGTGCATCCTCCTGAAAGACACTCTTTTGTTGTAAGAAATCGGTTTTATTCGCTGCTATGGCACAAGATAACCTGTTGGTTAATTCCCGAGTTTCTACGGCATGTGCATATGCATATGCCTGCCCTGTGTGTGCGTGCAAGCACCCAGGAGAAGCAGGTTTTAACCCGAGAAGCCTAAAAATAACCACAGAGAGTGAGAATGAGTGGGAGGGGAAGCAGTTAGAGAAGCGGCGTGAGGCTGCCACGCAGCTTGTGCCAAGGCCAGGCATGTTTGTGGGCACAGGTTCATTCCTGCCGCAAGCAGCTTTTTCCTCAAGCGGAAAGAAGGGTGGAAATGGGGGCAATTAACTCCTGCTGCCGCAGAAGCATAGTTACATAGTCCTGCTGGCCCACAAACTAGTCCTGGCACTCTTCTAGGAACCCCTGAGTTGTTTTTTTCTCCTGTCCTTTGTTGCTGAAAAGCTTTCTTTTTACACAGTCCTACTGGTGAAAAGCACAGAGAATTTTCTTTGCTGCTGCAGTCAGTGCAGTGCCTGCCCGCTGGGGCTTAGCTCCCCCAAGTTGCAGCGAGGGAGCAGGTTGCCAGGATGGTTACCTGGTGACAGCCACTTCCCACAAAAATAAAGGCACCTTTTTAGACAGAGGTCCAGCATGGACACTGTGCCATTCTGTGGGCTAGGATGTGCTCACCTGTGAAGAAATGTATGTATCTTTGCACACGTATTTCCTCACAATGGGCTAAAATTGTCACGCATGAAGAAAAATCATGCGGTCTATGTTCTTCTCTGTTACCTGGTTCTTTAAAGGGTGACATTGCGTCATACATAGCAAGAAAAGTCCTCCAACACCTTGATTTTCTTTGATTGGGAAGTCTTAAATCACGTGGCAGCATCAGTGTTATTTTTGCCTGATGACACCAGTGGCTGGATGCTGCACATTGACCTTCTGTCCTCCCACTAGACTGGCTGCCAAAGCAATGATTTTTTTTTTTTTTCTGGTTGGTTGTCACTTGTTCCTCGGATATTTGATTGGTTCACCCATTTCAAATCACTGGTGCAATGGGCAACATCTATAGGTTGTTAGACCGCCCAACTCTATTAGGGCAATCGCTGAAGAAGCTAATAGAGTAAGCAAGATCCACTAGCCTCTGAAAATATTAATCCTTATGTTTCTAACAGTGGCCTAAATCCTTTTTTCCTTATTTTTTATTGTGAAGGAGAGATTCTTGCACCACTAGGGCAATGAGAAAGGGCTGATTCATCTGTTCTCGGAAATAGGAAAGCAATTGGCTTCAGGATGGGTTATAGTGATGACCTCGTGATTACATTTTTCAGGATCGCAGGTTTCATCTGACGTGACTCTGCAGGACAGCTTGGCATGCACACATGTTGCTCACTCCAGGATATTTCAAGAGCAATGTGTTTCTCACTTTTAACCTAATGCTGTTCTTTATGGATGTGTGAGGGTGTTTTCTGGACAGACCTGTTCAAAAGCACCCTCTCCTTTTCTTATTTTTACTAGACAGGTGGTTTTACTCTTGTAAGGCTTTCTGTGGGAAGCAGGATGTGCTAGTAAAAGACAAACAGTGCCCTGAAGAAATGCAGTTTACCACAGGGATAAAGGGATAGGCTGTCTACTGTGGATACCAAAAGATCCCTCCCTTCTGTATTTGGAATTCAGCCATCCTTTTGTGATACAATTTCTTGCAGGTAAAACTACCCAACACTTGATCTTACTCAGACAAAGCCAGAGTGGATTATATGGATGACAATGTTTGTATTTAATCTTTATGAACTTTGATCTTCGGCTGTTTTTACTAAGCGAATTCAATTATACTTTGTGGCATACAGCAAGTGTAAATGTATTTCTGGTTTTGTGACATATATAGAGAAGTATGAATGCTAAAAATGCCAACGTACATGCCTTTTTTTTTTTTTCAAAATTTAATTCCTCAGGCCTAAAGATTATCTTCTAGGAGCTACTGAGCTACTAATTTCTGTTGAAATCTACAACGTTAGGCATTTCATAGCACTGAAAACTTCATCCATAAGAATGTACTATAGTGCAGATTTCATCTGAAAGGTCACAGCATAAAAAGCAGTCATGTACTTTAATCAGATATATTTTAAAGAATAATACTTAGAAATTATCGGTAGTATAAGGAAGTTTGGAAGGAATAAGGCATGTAACTCATTTCACTGTTACTTTATTTCACTTTTGCACTTCAGAAATACCAATTAAAATGTTTTATTAAAATGCTCTAGACAATTACACACTGTCAAAACCACCATTATGCTTAAAAAACAGGAACACTCATCAATTAAAGTTCAGAAACCCACAGAATAATCGGGCCTGACTCTCTTCTCATGGATGCACAAGGACTGTGTGCTGACAGTCCCCAATTCCTACAGCAGAAGCTCACAATGCCTCCTAGAAGGGCTGAAAAACAGCTCTGCAACCTAAAAAAAGGAACCTGGGGGTCTAGTGGGGAACAAGCCGCACTCAGTAGTCAAGAGCAGAGCAATCAGAGTTTGCTCTTACACTTGGTATTTGCAGAACTCTGCCCTGCCCAGGACAAGCAGCAGCAGGTGGCAGTGACTGACTGACCGAGCTCAGGGAGGGCTTAGTAAGAAGAGTAGGGCACGTCGTACAGGCGGACAGTTATGTTCCCTTGAGTTGGCAAAAATGTTAACCATGCTCCTCTACTCCCCAAGAGTCATTTTATTGATCTCTTTTAGGAAATATCCTTATCTTGCTGGAAAAAAAAATCTGCTCTTTATATCCATAAAATCCAATAAAGGGCATGCTCGGGCTTGACATAAAGCAGAACTCATTTTAAAATATTTGATAACTCTAGTGAACGGAAAGGCCAGTCAAATTGTGGAGTAACAGCAGCCTGTGAGGAGAGATGCATTACACAGAAAGGGTAGTGGGAATAGGCACGATGTGGGGGACGTTGGCCTTTCAGGATGTGTGTCCTGGCCCTGAAAAGGGACCGAAGCAGCACAGCGGCCCAGTTCTGCTTGCAGAGAAGGTGGGATTATGAGGCTAGAGAGCATTCGGGTGAGTTGTAAGAGAATGGGGGGAATATGCATGAAATGGGATGGTTAAATACAGAATGAATCCCATTAAGAATATATTGTTATAAAGAAAATCTCAAGAAAATCTTCAAGTTTCCTTTGCCTCAAATCTTCAAGTTTCCTTTGCCTCAAAAACCTTTTCCATTGCCACCCACCTACCAAACTAAAAGTTCATCTAGATACTAAAACTGACCTAGAGATTGCTAAAATATATCTGAAAAAAACCTGGATGTTAGGAGGTAATGAAAGACGTGGAAGAGCAGAGCTGCCCATAAGCTGCGTTGCTACACCAGGTTGGCTGTAAACAACGGCATTCATGCATCCAAACACACAGAGAACTTCTTCCTAAGAAAATAAATATTTATGTGTATTTTTAAGTTGCACTGGCAGAGAGGGGGGCAATAATGTGCAAAGCATTTTCCTAGCAGTCCTGCTGCTACTCCAAGCCAGTACTGTACTTCTGTAAACTTGTGCTTTTTGAAAATCCAAGCACCAGAGTTTCTAATCCATTTGTTGAGAAGATTCCTCCGTGTCTCTACTATGTTTTTACTATCAAATGGCTGGCACTGCTTTTTGAAACCTTAAGTTCAGCCCAAAAGGGTTAGCTAGCCTGCTGTTTACTTTCCTGCACAAACTGCCTGCTTTTGCATTGTCGTAAGGACTGGAAAGGGGAAGTGCCTCTAATCACACTGGGTGGCTGCGTCTGGGCTTGTTTTCACAAAGCAGCTTGCAAGCAGAACTCTGCCCATAACCTCCACATCTGGCATAGCTACCAACACTCTTTGCTAAACTGGCACAGTGCTCCCAAGTGCTTCCCAACTGCTCTAGTGCTCTCAAGTGCTTCCCAAGTGCTCTATAAATGGTTGCGTTTCCAACCTAGGCTTGCCAGCCAACCACAACTTCCCCCACTCAAGATTTTCTTGACTTGTGAAGACTTCTGCAAGTGAAGGCAGAACTTCATATTAACATTTTACTGAAGCTACCCCAGTCCAGATGGTGATTACTATCCCATTACTTATTACTTTTGCCAACTTGAGAAGAGCTACTCAAGTCTAACTTACTGTTTTAAAAGAAAGACTAGAGGAAATACTAGTTTGCAGGGAGGGAAATACGTTCTTTGATCTAACCAGATTCAAATAAGCATTTTACCGCCTGCAAACCTACTTCCTTTAAATCTCTTGGCGAATTCTCCGAAGTAGCTGTTTCTCCTTTCACTTGATATGTATCTCCCAGTCAGCAACAACACTCAGGGCTAACTGTTCCAGCTTCAACGCAGAAGTCTTCGTATCATACGTGAAAACCACTTCTTTTTCCTTTCCATCTAAAGAGAACAAGACAGTTTACTGTATCCTTTAAGAAGAACCTTTTTTAAACACAATTATGCACAACTCTCTCACTAATTCAGACCGTCCATGCTACTAGCAGGAAAGATTGATTAAAAACAAAATAGTAGTCAAATCTGCCCAGTGTACAGCTAAGAATGCAGCAGGATGGGAGACACTATTTTTTGTCTGCTGGCCTTTCAAACTAGCTTGGCGTACATGAGTTTCCATCTCACTATTCAAGGATTTTTCCGCAGAACTTGATCCTTGTTTCAGTGTAACTTACTCTCCAAGCACCGTGAAAGTCCTGAGCATTGATAGGTGCAAACAGAAAGTCCATGTCCCTATCATTGCCTATGTGAAGATGTGTGCTTGGAAAGCAGCGAGAGGTGACAGCCCCTCTGCTGATGCCATTGCTTACTCCTATGGGATCCCTCACAACTTCTAGAGATCTCCACAGTCGGGATCTCCAGACTCTGGGGAATGAGCAAGAGAACAGGAGAGCAATTTTGTTTTTTGTCTGCAGATTTCCAGTTTTGGACTACGCAGATTTTCCAGACCTGACCTGTATTACAGAAAGACCAAATGGTCCTTCATTTTAAATGCTATCTCTGGCCATATGCTCTGCAGGAGATGAACTTAATTGAACTTATTACTTCTGAGGCACCATTGCTGATGTATCTTTTATCTTATAAAAAAATATTCTTTCGTTTTGCATATTATTAATGGTGAGCAACTGTTAACTTCTCTCACTAAATCCTGCCTTTGATACTCAAAAAGTAGCGAGGATGACTGAACAAGAATACTCCCCTTGATGTAATAGATCCATTACAGAGCTGCCTCTTGGCAGCCTCTAATGAACGCCACGAGTACAAGTATTTCAAACAATTGCAGTGAAATGGAACTTTGTTCATTACCCTTTGAATGTGTTGTCACAGACATGGGTTGCTGTCCAAGTCCCAGAATTATCACCTGTTCAAATACACATGTAGTGTGGTATTGTCCCTTTTCATCTGTGCATCTGGAAAAGGAAAATTAGTTCAGATACAGTACTTCCTGTCCAACAGCAGGTCAGAATCATACAGAAAAAAAAATACAACTTCAGGCTCTCCCTGAAGGTTCCCAGTACCGTTTCTTTTCTCTCTTTACCTTTCTCATGAAACAGATACCATTTTCTCCCATTATCAGCTGATTTTTTTTTCAAATAGTAGAATTCATAAAAGTAGAGGGGAGAAGAAAAGTTTTCCAAGGCATCTTGTCACTAAAAAAACATAGCTTTAACAACCAGAAAGGTTCTGGGGCTTTGCCAAATGCTAGTGTGAAAATCCCTTTCTGAAAAGGTGCCTAATTTTAACATTTTTCAAACAATATGTTTCAGTTTGTATCATGAGTATCATTCATTTTGAAATTAAAGTATTTATTTTTAATTAAAATCTCTCTCTGTTTTACAGTCTTGCAAGATAAAAGGATGTGAAGCATCCTTTACCTACATTATCCAAACTAACCTACAGTTTTGCTATGTGCTGTATTTTGTAGTTTGAGTACCAATTAGTGTGCATTTTTAAAGCCTGAAAGAAAAATACTTGTAAATTCATTATTTATGAACTGAACAGCGTGACAGGCAACAGACCTCACTAGTAAAATTGTGGTAGTGATATATTTGAAATCTCTTTCTTTACAAGTAGCAGATATGGATATTTTTGGCTTTTAACAGTTTCACTCAACTTTTGAAGAGTGTCTTCTTGTGCTTCCTCTCTCATATATTTTAACAAGATATGTGATATATTTGCTGACGATTTTCAGACCATATGTAATGCCATTTATGGTTAGAAAAATGCAAACACTCTAGGTGTTGCCTACTTGTAAACCTCCCACTTTATCATCCGTTGTTTCTCCAATATATTTTATTCTTGCTGATGACTTTCTTTTATTTGAGTAACTCTGTAGAGTAAATCAAAACAATATTACAACAGCACTTGAAATGGTGAGCTGTCTATGTAGACTTATGCAGGGCATCACTTTTCTATGCAGGTTTATAAGGAATTCTGCCTGTTCTGGGTCTATTTAGCAACGGATGAGACTAATCCTTCTATGTTTGCAAGGATGTCTAATGAACTAGAAAAGGTATTTCCAATGGTACTGTGTTGGGTGGCTTTCGTTTGCCGTGGTTGCTGTTACCTGGAAGAGAGAACTTGCTTCTGGAAAGTGAATTTCCGGTGCAGGAACTGCTTCTCGTGTAGATACTGGAAGGAATGTCCATCATCTAGGTAGAGTTCACCTTTTGCACAGCCCTGTGAAACACACCGAATGGAGTCCAAATTAACCGGGGCTTCTGGGGTTGGTAAGTCTCACTATATGGTAATGTTTTAGAGAGAACACTTTTTCTTTCTTAGCAACTTGAATCTCTGGAAATTCTGATTTTGTAAAGTGATGTGTATGCCAGGTGACACCTCTTTTATTCAAAAGGATAGTGGTGGAAAGTTCTTTTCTAGATTGGAGAGGAATTTCTCCTCCTTCCTCCAGGGAACTACAGGAAGATAGGAATGGTCAGAAAATGTTCTTAGACTGAGGGAGTGAGGTGGGACTCCAGGCAGAGGAATGAGAGAGACACACGACTGTGTTGACTGAATAGGCAGCAAGGACCTAAAAAGGATGGACAGGATGAAAGACAACTTTGTAAAGGAAACTCATCTCAGAGTACCTCTGTGTCCAGGGCCACATGGAGTTCATAAGAAATATCTATCATCCATTCAGTGGATTTTCCAGCTCTGGTCTTCAGAGGTATCACAGTCCCCCCACGCTGGAATACAGGAATCTGCCAATAACATAGAGTAGAAAAGTTCATATAAGCTGATCATAGAATTCATCATACTTACAGATAGAAAAACTACAACTTTTTCTTATCAGACCTCAGAAATAAACTTCTACAGCAAGCACATAAGGAAAACCATTCAGCCAGTAATGGTTAACTTGACCAGGGTTAAGGTAATCCTAGTTAACTTCCTGAAAGAGTTCAGGCCAAAGCATCTTGGCTGGGAACAGTCACCCTTACAGTGTCTCACTCCTCTTCTACCAGGGCACATGAGTGCTCCGCTCTAAAAACAAAGGATTTGGGGATTTG